CCCCAAAACCCCAAAACCCCAAAACCCCAAAACCCCAAAACCCCTTGCCTGGGAAATGAAATTGAATAAAAATTATAGCTGGGGAAAATCTCTTATTGGGATCTGGATTGGGGTAAGATGTGGGATAGCATAACTCATTCAAATAATTCGTTAAATTCTTGGTTGGATTTAGAAGAAACTTCAAAGAAAGGTAATTCATAGTCTTTAACAAGTAGCTCTTCTTTTTCTGTACTGACTTCTCTTTGTTCTGCAAGATCACACTTAGTGGCTATTAGGAAAACTTGGGAGAATGAGTTAAGTCTCTCAATTATTTCTACCTCCTCATGAATTCTGTTATAAGAATCTCTTTTGGTAGCATCATAACAAAGCAAGATTGATTTTAGTGGCTTGTAATATCCCCAGAAATACCGCTAAATCTTTCACAATCTAAGGATCTATCATAAGAACCTTAACCTTTAAATCAGAGTCAAAAAATTTAGAAGCTTTTTGATTCACTCTTTTGACAAAGTTGTAGCTTTAAATAGATTCTGTATGCATCTGATTTATGTTGATTCGTTGCAATGTTCACCACTGCCAACACCTTTAAAGTTTGCTGATTCCTTTCCCTTCAGAGTCAATAAAGTAGTCATAGAATTTGATGATTTTGATACAATAATCAATATCTTCTTCAAAACTCCCAACAAGAATTTTTTAAATCGCTATATCTACATTGATCCGATATTTTTTGAAATTCTCTGCTTGAAACCTTAATAATAGCTCTAAAACAATATTAAACTTAGATATAGCTACCCATTTCCCTCTAAAAATTACGAAAATACCCCAAAAATACCTCAATTTTCCTTAGACCCAATAAGACATCTATCCTACCCGCATCATACCAAACCTATTTTCAACTACAACCACCCCACAATATGCACTTTCCATTCCCTAAATCTGTTCACCAAATCCTTTCCTCCCCCTCTATCCCCCTCTTCCCAATACCACTGAGCTCTTACCAACAAAATCCTCTCCCAGCACGCCTATATCTATCCTAAATATTCCTACTAAAATCCTTCACAGAGGGGTTTTGGGGTTTTGGGGTTTTGGGG